TCAACCTGCTGGGCTTAGGTGATCCTTCCACCTCAGCCTTCCAAGTAGCTGGGACTACAGGCATGTGCCACCATGCCTGGCTAATATTTTAAAAAATTTATTGTAGAGATGAGATCTTGCCATGTGGCCCAGGATGGTTTCAAACTCCTCAGCTCAGGAAATCCTCTCACCTCAGCCTCCCAAAGTGTTGAGATTACAAGCATGAGCCACCACACCCAACCAAGACCCCCCACCATTTAGAAAGAGGTCTATCCCACACTCTCCCCCCATCTTCCATACTTTTTGCCTAGCAGGGACCAGAGTGAGGCCTAGGAGAAAGATACCACTTAGATCATTTAGCTTAGCAAAGCAGGTTCTCTGTGTGGTCTGACCTGACTTAGAAGAAGGTCAAAAGCCCTAACTGATTCCTCCTCTGTACCCAGCAGCAGACAGAAGAAAGGATTTGTATGTTCATGGTCACTCTGGCTCAGTGTCACCTTAACCCCTGCTTCCCTCCCATTCTCCTCTCTACTCACAAGTAAGAAGTATAGAGCTAGGCACCCAGTAAATATGCTTTGATTGATAGAACATGGCAAAGAAAAATGCTCATGAAAGACTTAAAAAGGAGAAATCACATTTAAGCAAAAGGACGTTTAGTTGTGTGATTATTTGTTCTTTAGCAGAATAAGGTCATAATATCAGAAAACTGGAAAAATGATCTCAAACATCTTTGTAAATGAATATCCTTTCCTCACAATTTCTGCTTTAAGGGATATGATGGATATATTGTGAAAGTAATGTCTAGTCTTTTGGACTTGCTAGAGTGCAAATAATCATTGGGGGCAGGGACAGTTCCCCAAAGTGCTTTTTCCCCTTTCCTTTTTTCCTTTCTTTTCTTTCAGTTCTCTGCAGCCTTGACCTTCCGGACTCAGGCGATCCTTCCATCCCAGCTTCCTGAGTAGCTGGGACTACAAGTGCATGCCACCATGCCTGGCTAATTTTTTGATTTTTGTAGAGATGAGGTCTTGCTATGTTGCCCAGGTTGGCCTGAACTCCTGGGCTCAAACAATCCTTCCGCCTTGGCCTCCCAAAGTACTGGCATTATAAGTGTGAGCCACTGCACCTGGCCTTCAAAGTGCCTCTCAAAGGATAGGAGGGGCTCTAGATCCTCTTGTAATGTGGTGTCTCTGTTCAAACCAGTGCCACTGAGGAACATGAAAATCCTTGGTAGGTGCCCTTCAGACCATGGGCTGGGTGTGTGACCAAATGGTTTGGTCTCTTACTAGAACAGGGAACACCTAAGTTGGGATGTCACGAGTGTTCTCCAATATCAGGATTAGTATGGAGCTCAGCAGAGTTTGTGAGAAAATGCAGGCAGCTTTACCTGCATCTGTAAAAAGTTAGCTGAATGGAATCAAGCTTTCTGTAAGGTGTTTTCCTGACTCAGGCATGTCCCAAATGGGCCAATGTGTCCCGGGCAATCATCCAAGTACCGCCCTTCTGAATTGCTCCTAGAGGAAAAGGAGCCTGGTTCAACTTTCTATACTTCTTAAAATGTTACTTTGATTAGACAGGAGATAGCAGTTTATTCAGCAATATTGCTACTATTACTGTCATGGTTATATTTTTAAATTGTATTTTCTCTTTGCCAAGAGCAAATGAAAACACACATTTGCACTGTAGATTCAACAGAAGCTGCATAAGGTTTTCCCAGATATGTTCCAAAATGTATTCTAGGCCCACTGCTGGGCAAAGAGGAAGTCTTCCCCCTTCCCCATGTCAGGGGTTCATGTTTTTTTCCTTAAAAAAATGCAAACTCTTTATAAAAATAAAAGAATTTTTATTATTGCTATAAATTCCATGCACTTTGTTGTTTATTAAAGTATTACTTGGAAAATACATAAAATATAAAGAGAAAAACAAACATCACCCATAATACTAGAAACCCAAAAACAACCACTGTGAAACTTTTGGTATATTTCTTTCTAGCCCTTTTTCCACATCCTGATACAAAACTATGGATGCAAAATGTTCCCAATACACTTTATGACATATTCAGGAACATATTGCAAAAATAATTCTGCACCTTACTTTTATCACAAAAGCAAACTATATATAATCACTGTTAGATTTTTGGTTTATTCCCTCCATTCTTTTGTCTGTATATTGATACAAAACTATGCATGCAAAATGTTCCCAATATATTTATAGTGCATATTAGGAACACATCGCAAAAACAGTTTAGCATCTTTCATTGATCACTTATAGTGCCACGGCTCAGGGACAATAACTTTTAGACTTTTGGTGTACTTCTTCCTAGCCTTTTCCATATTATATTGATACAAAACTATGAATGCAAAATGTTCCCAATACATTTATATTACATATTAGGAACACATCGCAAAAACAGTTTAGCATCTTTCTTCAATCACTTATCAACAACACAGAGACAACCAATATAAAATTTTGATATGTTTCCTCCTAGCCTTTTATCTGCATATGCATACCTCTATTGCAGAGATGGAAAACTATTTTGCACTTTTCTTTTATCACTGAACATTTTATCAGGAGCACATGCCTATGTCACAAACATTATTTTTAGAAACATTATTTTAAATGAAAGCATCCTTTTCCATTGTATTACATAAACCATGGTTTACTTATCTAATTCTTTGTTGTTGGTTATTCAGGATGTTCCTAATTTCCATCCCTAAAAATACTGAAATTGTGTACCTTTATGTATTCTTTCTCTGGGACTTTCTGTTCATGTAGTTTTTTTGTTTTTCTTTGACCACTTGTGTGGACTCAACATATTAAAGCTGACTCTGTGTCTGTAATTCTTATTGTTAATGTTTTTCCAGTTGTTTGTTTGTGCATACATTATTTTAGTATTCTGGCACAAATAGAAAAATCATATTCCCTATGTAAGTTTCAATTCATTAAATAGACATGTAAAGCAATAAAGATACAAATAGTTAAAGACATTCCCATTACACTCCTTTGAAATGACAACTCATCCCCCCATCCTATGGCAACACTTTTCTTTCTTGCTTAGGGTCCACTTGCTAAGTGGACTTACATTGACTGGATTTACAATACTTACCACATGTATTGCTATGAAGATGAGTGGCTCCCAGACCTTTCAGTTATCAATCTGTCACAAGTGCACTGTGGTATCTCGTGACATGATGATCCCCGAGATGTCTGAGGTCTGTGCATCCTTGACCCCAAATTTCTGTATCACCTATGACCCCTAAAGACGTTTTAGAGAATTATGTTTGACAACATAACCAAAAAAGTGGCGTCACCAAAACTAAAAAAAAAAAAAACCATGAAAAATAGAGAAAGAAACTTCAGCTCTTATCCCACCATCCATTAAGTAACAACTATGTTTGTTTTGCAGGTTCCTTCCAAGTTCTGCTCCTACTTTTCAATCGTGGTGTCTATGTGGTTTTGTAGACTTGATTTTGTAAAAACTTAATCACATAAGCACTTCCCAGCTTTCTAGGGAGTCTCTATCATTATTATTTGTAATGGCTGAAAAAGTGAGAGACTAAATGAAGTTAACCCCTATGGTTGAATATTTCATTTGTTTCCTTGAGATTAATTTGGTTGAATCTATAGGAAATAACAAATAGGGGCCAGAGATTGTAAATGAATTTAAATCATGCTTGTTTGGTTTGTGGACATTGACTTATACACAACTGGGTAATACACAGTCATTATTTAGTAATCTTGAGTTTCACACAGGAAATGTCCAGTGTGTAGGCAAAAGCTCATCATAAGGCTAGTCAGCTTCACCTGGAACTTTTCTAACCAAACATACTAATTAAATTCCATCTCCTGCTCTAGTCACTACTGTGTAGTCACTTCTGATGACCTGCCATAAGGAGCACAGCTCAAGGTCTGAAGGAAGAAGCCCCAGAGACTAGCCTGAGACAAATCCTTAACCTTCCAGAAGCCCCAGTTTTCTTGCCTGTAATTGTGTGTTTACTGCCTTACTCTATAAATTTTCAAGCAAATAAAAAATATGAAAGCATCTGGGGAAGCATGTAAAAGCACAATATAAAGGCAAGATGTTGGGATTATTATGATTCTGATGACTCTGTGGCTATGCCTTTAAAAAGTCTGTTCTTGGGATCACAGTCTGGATAGCTGGTGGGGGCAGGCATAGGGAACAGGTGAGCAGCAGCCTTGGGAGACTCAGACTCGAAAGCAACCAAGACTCTCAGTCTCAGCGTGCTGTACTGTTCTCAGCTCCCTGACTCTAAAGGTGAAGCCAGGGCTTTATTCGCAGACTCCCACCAGTTGCTCAGATTATAGAGCTCAATAGTGCAAGGGGAGTGCTCCTAAGCCAGCAACCACAGGAAGTGGAAGTCTTTCAGGGCTCCTCCCTCATGGCTCAATTTACTATCCCCACGGGGGTTTAAGCCTTTTTGAACTTGGCAAAGAGAGCAATTGTGAAGCTGGGGCAGGAGGCAAAAGCAGCAGATAGGTGAAATATTATGAAAGAACTAGCAGATACTTGTTCATTCACTGAGTAGCAACTAATGAGTTGGCCTGAGCAGGATGTAGGGGGCAGGGAGATACACAGTTCCTACGACTGGAGTATATATACTTTTTTTTTCTTTTAAGAGTAATGCAATAACTCTAAATGCAGATGCACATATAAAGTTCTAGGGTTATCAGAATAAGTAATACTGCAGGTTTATGGGAAAATAGATCTCTAAAAACACATGTCGACTTGGATATAGTTGTCTTTTCATTTTTATCAATAAACTTTCATTGATCTTCCCAAAACACGTTTTGAACCAAGTTTTCTTTTCATCCTGCAGTCTTTCAGGAAAGCTGCCTATAAGTTAACTGCCATCTTGTAGGCTCATGTTTTCTCCAAGTATTGCCCTGAGCGCCAGAGTCTAGGATTTGGGGAACAAATCCAGCCTCCTGCTGCCCCATCTGCTTTGATGAGTTGATAGGTATGGTGCTTTAAAACAATCAGCAAAATAATTTGCACTGCAGAGTCCTTATGAGGTTTTTTTTAATTAGACACTTGCCCGTGTTAAAGGAAATCAAAAGCAGCAAACAATCAGCCAATGTCCCAGCACTGGAGTATATCCAACTGTTTTCCTGTGTGGGGTTCCACTTTAGTCCTTGTCTGTGTGCATGCATCAACATTACAGAGTTGCAACCACTGCCTTTTTTTTTTTTTTTTCTGGCCCTGGTTATTGGCATCTAGTTTTCCAAGTAACATTGACACACATCTGCTCAAATCAATTGACGTTCCCATCATGACTAACTCATTTGGCGGGAACACCAACTTTACATGCCAATTGGAACAGAGACGCCTGGGTATGGGGGGGAACAGCAGGGAGAGATGGTGGGGGAGGATTCTTTTGACTTACAGGTCATAAAACATTTTCCAATAACATTTTTAAAGGATGTATAACATTACACTGAGTGATTGATTATATTTTACCCCCCTATTGTGGGACACTTGGGTGGTTTTCAATACCTAGTGAGTTAAAATGCATATAAATTACAGCCTTTGAGAGATGATTGTATTTTCTTGAAACAGGAGTCTTCTGTGTCCAGTTCCCCGCCAAGTGTGTTGACGCAGTGTTCCTTTGTTGGGGGAAAAAAAAAATCAGCACTGCTAACTGCATGAAATTTAAAAAAAAAAATCATGTTCAATACTAGTTTATCAAGGTAACCTGTACATTTTGTCTCACAACTTACAGAAATGTCAAGTCTTAGATTTAGAGCTAGACTAAGCATTTCCTAGTTTAAGAGCCACGTCTGTCTAACAAACTTTATACAGTGCCTCGTGCACGCAACTTCCTCACTAACAAATAACATGTGTTGAGGGAAAAAACGAGAACACAATGGAAAGGTGCCTCGATCGAAGTGGTAACACTGGATCTGTTCATCAGCGACCTATACATTGATTCGCTTTACACAAGTCTCTCACACATTTTGATGCACATTTAGCTATGTTGAAAACAATGTAAAATACCTTAGGGAGTTGTTAAAGAGAATTTATAGTCTGGAACAAATTGCCATCTCCTTAATTGACACAGAAATGTTTGGCTAAAATATTGCTTTATTCACATTTTTGTCCTTGGAGGTAAGTCTAGGCACACTGCAACTGTGATCGTGTAAATAGAGGTGCAAGGAATGTTTTAAGCCAGAAAAAAGCACCACGCTGGCAGGGAGCTGTGTGGACGAGCTCAATTTCGATGCCTCTTGGGAACCCTGGGCAAAGGGCCACTGCGATTCTGGAAGGCAACGCCCACGCGTCAGGATCACTGGCTGCCCACCCTCCACCCCTCGAGTCCCCAACCGGCCCGATGTCTCACCTGGGTCTTTCAGGTGCCCACTGGAGGAAGCCGGATAGCGCAGGACTTGGTCCCCTGGGAGGGCTGGCTAGCGCTGGGCCTCTTTCTGGTTCGCGGGATAACCGTACAGAAAAGGGGAAGGGAAGCTAGTGAGAGGCAGAAGAGGAGTCTGGACGTGATCCCCCCATCCCCAAGTACAATGGTAGGCGGATGCGGGGACCTGTTCCCCGTTCGGGCCTGCGGATCGCGGGTCTGAGGGACTCTGGGCCTGCCAGGCAGGAGCAGAACTAGGGCTTCCAGGCCGGGGTTATCACCGCCCCGTCGGACAGGTTGGGTGGTGACCCGCCCGCGGAGTCCCTGGGAGCCTAAGGGTCCATATAGGCAAGTTGGGAGGGACCCCAGCCGCGCTGCCCCGGCGCAATGGTGACTGGGAGAGTGGGCGTTTCGCCGCTAGAGCCAGACTTCCAGCTCAGGGTGCCTCCTATGAGGGGCCTCCTGGGGTGTCTTTGCTCTGGGGCTTCCAAGACGGAATTCTGGGAAATTTGGGGGCAGGAAGACTAAAAGAAGTTAGCGCCTCATTCTAGCGCCACCAACCCCTCATGTCCCCGCGTTCTCTGCAATCCTCAGACAGATCCGGCAGGTCGGCGCCTTCCACGCCGCTGCCTTGGATTCGCTGGCCTGCAAGGCCTCGCGTCTCACCAGGTCCGACTTGGGTGCCTGAACTCGATGGAAGCTCCCCCCAACACAGCTGTGGTGAAGGAAGGGGAGAGTGTAAGGAAGGGGACGTTAGTTTCATCTTTCCTGAACTCCAAAGCCCTCTCCACACACAGGACAGGAGGCCATTTACCAGGAACCACAGATTGGTGTGGAGACTGCTTGCAGCGGGTCACTCTTCCTGTCTCCCCTTCTCATTTTGCATTCCCCACCGCAGCCATTTCATTGTTGGGGACTGAAGATGGGGTTTCTTCGTTGTTGTCCTGTGGGTGACATTCTAAGTGATGGGGAAGGGATTTTTCTCATCTTTAAATTCTACCTGGGCAGGAAAAGGAGATGCTAAAATGAAGCAAGTTTCTCGCCCAGTCACATATTCAAAGACAAGCAAATGCTTGATGGAGTCCCGGGTCTCGCTGCTCCCGGGGCAGACTCTGTAGGTAGTGGACTAAGACTTACCTGATGGGTGGGCCCGTGCGAGAGTCCCAGACTTACCCTGGCAGCAGAAACAATACTCCAGGGCACCGATCGCTCACTGCAGTACTGATCCCGCTGCTAGGGCACGGCTGAGTGCGGGGCACCAAGTCCCTCCTCGGCTCTCACCGCCTGGGCGCGCTCCCGGCCAGCCGCCCCCAGACCCATCAAGCCACGCCGCCCTCCCTTGACTACCGCTGCACCGCCTGGGCTGGGAAGGGCGAGGACTGGCCAGGAAGAGAGACCAAAGCCCCCGCCCACCTACCTACTCCAGAGCCCGCCTCGCGGGGAGCAGGCGCCTAGCGGCAGGAACACGCGTCCAGCACACCCCCACCTTCCACCCTGCCCGCGAGGGGGTATAGCAGCGCCTCACGTTTTGAACCATTTAGAGCACTTCAAAACATGAATTGCTGCTGCATCCCCTCGGAGTCAATGAAGGGGGATCGCTCCGGGGTACCTGCGGGTGAAGAGACAGGTGACTGAAAGAAGTGGCGAGAAATAAAGGAAAACTCGTAAGTAGGCAACTCACTCCAAATTGACATACTCTCTATAACTTCACCTTTGGGTTCCAGGATATGAAGGTGAAGTACAGGGTGTGGCTCTCATCCCCCAGGATGAATCTTGGAAGAGTATAGTTGTGAAAAGCTGAGCCATGGGAGGTAGAAATGAGAGTGGGGGAGAATCTTACCTTTGAAAATAGAAGAATAATAAGATTAGTAAGTGGAGGTCATTTGACAATATCTGGATCACTCTTGCCAGCTTCAAAGTCTTGATGAAACTTCTTCCTGCTGTATATTACAAGTCTCACTCACTTTCCCCATTTTATTTTTAACAAAACCTTTTTGTTTATTGGAAGTAGATGCAGAGGACTGAAAGGAAATAACCAAAACCTCGTAGACGACTGCCCTGACTATACTATAGCTGTAAAATGCAGACCCATGTATACAAATATCAGATGTGCTCTTGAACTCACTGTCAGTATTTTTCGTTCTTATAGTAAATACCTTGCTTTGAGTTATTTTAAAGAGCATTGAAGAATGAGAGAGGACTTTCTGTAGATGAAATACCTGGATGTTTACCTATTAAACTGGTTACTCAAACTTATTCATAAGCAATTTTTACCTGTCAATGTCACCTATCAAAAACATAAATCAAAACGTTTAAATGTTTCATGTCAAATCGCTCCTTCCTGTCTAAGCAGCTCCACAGAACTCTTTCATGTCCTGAAATGGCCGGCACTGTGCATACTCCTTAATGATTAACTCATTAGATACCACTTTTTCCTTTCTAAAATGGACACGTATTAGCGACCAGTACATGTATTTTCCCCCTTTGTTTGAATGAAATATTCAATTAAGCATTTAAAAACCTGCCCTGAAACCCTTAATCACAAACCTAAAAGTTAAAACAACAAAACCAGCACAAAAAATGTAATGGTATTGAAAGTTAAAAATACATTTTGGTACAAGGAATAGACATTTAAAGTATCCAAGTCTGCTAAGGGTTTAAAAACTATGCTGGTTTTCCAAAAGCTGTACTATGAATATTAAGTGTCCTATTTGTTAGTTAATAAGATAGGCAGATTATTTAATGAGATTAAGCACACAATTCATAACACCACAGACTTAGATCCAATGTTAACAAATACAATATTTGTGTCATGGAAAACAAAGGCATCAATAATAATAACCACACTCCTTAAATTGGGACAACCAAGTGTCTCCAAATTCCATCTTGTTTTGACTATATTTACAAACGATTTTTACATTGACCTTTGGGATTAATGGTGAAAAATGTCGTTGGCTACCCTTAAAAAGAAAAAGAAAACATGTTTAGCAAATATACAATTATACTTTTAAACTCCACAACTTTCTCTCAGTTAAATATTTTATGTTCTAGACAAATGTGTGAGCCATCACATCAGATGTTAAAGTCACCCCTAATTTAACATTTCCTTAGTGGACTACTTAGAAAAACAAAACTTCATTTGAAATAGCATCAGTGTCAAAGGCGAAGGACTCCTCCAGATTGCTTTATAAACTCACTGGAATCGAATTTATTTATACTTTTCACCTCTTTCTTCTCTCTCAGTGACAGTACAACGATTTACTTCCCTAAAAAGCCGCCTCGATCCCCTAGTTCACATATTTCCCCTTAGACTGAAATTTACTTACGAAAAGAGAATACAAAGAAGCGTCTTGTCACTTCAGGGGAGGGTCATTCGCTGATACAATAGACAAAGAATCGATACTTTCGAGTTGCCATAGCCCCACCCCCTTCTGAACTGCAACGTGTTTGGCCAAATGATTTAAGAGCCAAAGAATACGCCTCTTCCTCTGCTCATATTTTACAACGTTTTGTCTTTTAATTTTAAAGATGCCTTCGTCCCCCACACCCTAAACATACGACGTTATCTTCCCTCCGCGCATTCGAGCCAAACTTTCCCAATGTCAAGTTTCTTACAGGGAAAACTAAGCAACCTTGAAAGTTTTAATTCGAGAGAGACAATGTAAAATTAATCACACATTCTTTCCGAGACATAATTTACTGCTTGCAAATAAGAGTCAGGAAAAGTCCATTTACTTTCTGTCAAAACCAGTCGCTCCCGACCCCGGCGAGGCTGACAGTCGGTCACTGCCCCCTCCTCAGTTGTCGCTCCCTGCCCCCTCCATGTTAGCTTTTTTCTGCCCGTTTCCTGAGAATTTTCCCAGCCGCACTCACTTGCTAAACACTTTAAAGGTCTGCTTCGCCCCCACCCCAGCCCCCAAACGTGCTTTACAACCCCAAAGCGACACAGAACTTTATCAGAATTATCACCAGATCTTTTTTCAGTCTGCGGTAACCACCGTTACAATCGGGAAAAACGCCAGCCAACAAGTCCCTTAAAAAAAAAAAAATCGCATGTCACCTCTCGCTCCACTCGAAAATGGCGCCGAAATCGAAGAACTTCTTAAATTTCATTGTAAGCTTTTTGCAAAGGGTTCTGGGATTTTCCTGCGAAGCTGTTTCGCCGCGTCGGAGAGCTAGCGAACGAGCGGACGAGCCAGAGAGACGGAGGGAGGAAGGAAGGGGTGGGGAGGCGGGGAGACAGACAGACAGACCGACAGGCGGACAGACAGCGAGAAAGTGTGAGGCTGGGGCCGGGGCGGGGAGCGGGACCAGGACTTGGGGGAGACTGCGAGGTTGCAGGGCGCGAGATGCCCGGCACAGAGCGACAAGGATGGAGAGCCAGGAGCCGGGGTCGCAGAGCAGAGGGCGCCGTCTGGCGCTGGCTGCAGACGAAGCTCGGAGAGCGGCGTGGCGGAGGCGGAGCGGAGCCAAGTGAGGGGCCAGAGCGGTGCGCACCCTAGGAGGCGACGAGGCAGCAGGCGGAGAGCCTCGAGGAGCCGCCCTAGAAAAAGCCGGCTCTGGAGGCGTGGCCACGCGGTGCTCGCGCTCCCCGCCCCCCTGTTGCCCCGCGCCTCTCCGGGGCCCGGGGGCGGAAGGGGGGAGGAGGAGGGAGCGGCAGGGGAGGGGGTGGTGCAAGCGCTCGACGCCACTGCCTTGGCCCGCAGCCCGGAAGGGCCGAGAAGGGCACAGGGCGCCCAGAATAGCCAATACCGAGCCGAATAGCGGGGGTTCTCGGAGAAAAAAGGGAGAATGGAAAATGGCAAAGCCAAGAGCACAAGGTAGCGCAGCACACACTCGGAGACTCATCTGACAGACGCCACCCCGCGATCACCAGTCCCCTCATGGTCCCCTTTGGGTCGCCGGGAGGGTGCAAGGTGGCTGAGCAAAGCCTCTAGAGCTGTGCTTCTAGGGGGGTACCTGAGAGAGTTTGGGAGAGGAGACGGGGGGCCTCAGACCGCGTGAATGTAGCGCTCTCCCCACGCGTTTGAGCGCAGATGTGTTCCGTGCTCTCGCCACCCAGCCAAGCTCTCCAGTAGAGAGGCCCCAGGATAAGCCAAGCCCCATACATCCTTTGGGGGGACAGAGCACGGAGGAGGGGGGCAATTGTTTACACATGTGCCTAGTCCAAGAAAGGAAACTGATTTCAAGACTGAAGTGGGGGAAACGGGAGCGAAACGAGCTCTTATTCTGGATGCTACATGCTCTTAGGGATGACGCTATTTTTCAAGTGTGAAAATGGCATTGAAGGTAAGTAGGAGAAGGTTTGTAACCTTAGAAGATGCATGTTGAAGTGTAGAGAGGTGAAACATCATGATATCTGCAATTTTCAGGTGATGCAGCTAACACACACACACACACACACACACACACACACACACATACACACACACACACACACAGAGACAGAGACAGAGAGAGAGCGGTCGCGCGCAAGTATTGCAATATGTTAACAGTTGTTGCATCCTGGTGGGGGGTAAGCAGACGTTCGTCCTACCATTCTTTCAACTTTTCTGAATATTTGCAAAATGCCATAATAAAAATTGGGGGAGAAATCCCTTATACAATACGATAGTGCTTGAATGCTGTCTAAGAATATGAACGCGGCTGCTTTTTCTCGCCCTGTCCCGGGTGGGACAAATCTGCTAACAGGCAGGTCTCCGACCCATCGGGGTCTGGACGGGAAGAGCAATGGGTAGAGCCGGCCTGCAGTGGCCACAGCCCCAGACAGGCCAGGAAAGGTCACGGGAACCGCGAGGCAGGTGGGCAGCCAGGCGCACAGCGCTGCGGTGGAGCTACTGAACGCGCTCGCCCGGGGGAGGTGGGAGGTTTCCCCGAGGCTCTCGGTGACCCCCGGCTCGACTGCGACTCGGCTAGGCTGCGCCAAGGACGAGCAAAAGAAACTGGAGGGCCGCGGGAAGCTGAGGCCTGCGGCTTGCAGCCGCCACCGAGGTCTGCGTCCCCCGCACTCTCCGAGAGCGACCGCAGTTGTCGCAGCATGCAGACGACGGCGCGCGGGGTGGTCAAGAACCGCGTGCGGGCGCTGGAAAAAAATCAGGTGCAGAAAGAAAATCGCAACCCACGCACGCGCGCGCGCGCGCACACACGAAATCAGCATACAAAAATAAAAGCACAGATTCTGCCGCGCTTGAGTTACTTGAACTACTTAACTCTCGCATGCATTTTGCTGTGGTATTTCTGCAGAATTGATGTAAAGCCTTACATTTCTTTGCAAGGACGATCTCGCGCACCCAAGGCGTTACAAGCGTTGCGCGGCCTTTCACTGGAGTCCTAGGCTTTTTGGGGGCGGAAGGGGCGGG